ATGTGTTTGTTAACATTAGAGATGACGAGGCAGAACATTGCAAGACGATGAAAGCGTGTCAAACTCACGGCAACCTTCGTTCGCCCCACTCGTTTTCAGATGATAATGGGGAATATGACGATAATGAAGGGTGTGTCGTGCATCAGACTGATTGCCAAGGCATTGTTGATTGTATACAGAAATCCGTAAAAAATCCACCAGCCAACAAAAATTGATGCATTGAAAACCGAAAAATCTCTTTAATCTTAATATACCATTCGCCGATAGGATACGTATATACACACACATACTTAGAAAGATATACACCCAAAGGCAATACTATGGGTACACTTTTATATTTTCCCTTTGCCCCAGCACTGGTTTAGTTTGCTTATACTGCCCTCAATTTTCATTTCATCAGCTTTTGTGTGTGTGTGTTTGTGTTTACCTTTGGTCTGATCAGGGGCCTAGCTAAAGAAGGACCAGTGTGGGCCTAGGCCCACACTGAAAAAAAAAATGTTATCTTATATATCCTACTCAAAAGGTATTTTAATATTCCACTAATAAAATAAATAAATAAATAAAAAACAAGGAGAACACAAAGAAGGGAAAAAAAATCAGTGTTCTTGTTAATTTTGGTGACAATAAATTATAAATCTAATACTTTTTCATTAGATTTGATATAAAAATTTAAAATTTAAACTTGTGGTTAATTGAATGTTGTTTCTTAAAGGACTAACATATTTAAATTTATGTGTGATTGATAACTTGTATTGCTATTAAAAGTTTGATATATTAAACAAAATATTTTATACATTATTAATTATATTTTTTATATCAAATTATGGAGAAATATTTTTATAAACAGTCTTGACAAAAAAGTGCATATGAAAATATTTCAAAATTAGCTACTTTAAACATTTAGTCCAAATATATTTAAGGTGAATTATAATATTAATGTTAGGCCGAAAAAAACTTTAAAGACCTCATTATAGAGTCATACCAAACTATGAAAACTCATAAGAATTTCTATGAATGTGAATTTTTGTATTTATACTTTAATATATTTATTATTTAAGAAAAAAGTAGGCCCCCACTCATATTATGAACTAGAACCGTCTCTGGGTCTAATGACAATCATACATGGTAAACTAGTTTGTTTGCCGTGAGGTTACCAATTATTTGAATCCTCATTTCGGATTAAAATGTACCAATGAGTTTTTTTTTTTTTTTTGTTAAACTAGAAAAAGTGAAGGTTAATTAAGGTGAATTTATTGGGGGGGAATTTTTTACTTTTAATTGTTTAGGAGAGTTGACTGGTTGACAATTTGACATTCCCTAGGAACTTGAGAATATGATGATGATGAAACCATAAGTAGGCTGTTGTAAGGCAAGGTTTCGTAAGTTATATATTTTGAAAAATAATACAAAGTTGTTGGTTGATCTGTATTTTCTATTTTTCATCTTCTATATTAATAATACTACACAAACTCTTATTTTGACATCATTTAATTAGTTACTGACGTAATCAATGTGGAAACTTTAGCCAACGTGTTCGGTTTCTGCCCATACAAAATTTGCTCCTTTTTCTTTATCTCGATGCTCACACTCTTAATTTTTCTTCCTTCACGTCGAGGTATAGTATAACTCTTCAGTTTCCTAGGAGTCACTATAAAATATACTCCATGTATAATTAAAATTTATACCCTTTTGATCAATAAAACGTCATCATCATCATCATCATCATCTTCTTGCAACATTTATATTTCCGATAAGAATGCTCTGAAACATTATCACAACATTTCCATTTTTGATCTGTCAAGTCAAGCTATGGGAGACGAAAGTAGCCATTTGAGTTGCAGGCTACCAGTTATCAATTCCGAGTCAAATTCCGAGTTACAAGAATCGGAAGAAATAGATAAAGACATACTGTGTCCAATATGCATACAAATTATAAAAGATGTGTTTCTAACGGCATGTGGACATAGCTTCTGCTACATGTGTATAACGACGCATCTCCGTAATAAGAGCGATTGTCCTTGCTGCTCCAAATTCCTCACTCCTGCTCATCTCTATCCCAATTTTCTCCTCAATAAGGTTTGTTTTTCAATTTATTTATTTATCTCTATCCTAAATTTCTCGTGTTTTTGCTCTTCTTTAATTTAGGTTCACTATTTCCTGTTTAATTTTTATCTCTTTCTTTCACATAGATATTTAATTAATGGATAGACATCGAATATGAGAATGGTGGTAGTTAACTATCAGTTAGAATTTGATGGTTTTAGTTAGATTGATTGGTTTAATTTGATGAGAAAGAAACTTATTAGGATTATGTTTGGAAAGAAGAATTTGTACCATTTTTTAATTTAATAATAATTTAGTATGATGGGCTTAAATTTATTTAATATAAAGGAAATCAGACTGGGAAATGATTTGGGGAAAGTAGATGAAGTACAAATACTAATTTAACAGTAATTTTGTTTTGATGCATTGATATATGGTTTTTGGGCTTGTTAAGTAAAGCAAACCCTGTTTTTATACATTTAAAGCGATAAATTATATTAAAAAAAAAAAAGTAAAATCTCCTCATAAACACGGAAAAAAGATTACAAAACATCTTGAAACTCCAAAAAAATACACATAAAAATTAGAAATAGTATAAATTAATAAATAGGTTACAAAACGCCAAAAATTAACACTTAGTCTATGTTTGGTAAAACTAGCTGATAAACTAGCGTATAGCTTATAAGTAATTTTCGAGCTTATAACTTATAACTTATGACTTATACCTGAAAAGTTAGTATTTCATAAAATTAGTTGATAATTTAGCTGAACTAAAAATTTTTACGAGTTTATTTAAAAAGCTACCCAAAAGAAACTTATGAGACAAACTCGAGTTTTATAAAAAGGCTTGTCCTACCAAACGAAACCTATTTAAATATAGAAAGCTTTTAAACTAACCAAATAAGCTATAAATTAACTTAATTGTCTACCAAACATATCCTTAAACCAAAAAAACTTTCCATTTATATACAGGNAAATAGGTTCGTATTGTTTTTCCCTTGCTCTTGTATAATGTGTGAGACTATTTGTTGTTGCATTAATCCTGTGATTGGCATTTACAATTATCAATAAGTTGTGTTATTCTGTCATTTGCAGTTGTTGATGAAGTCTTCCAATCGTGAGATAGCCAAAATTGGCTCTCCAACAGAACAACTTCGTCGTGCACTAGAACAGGTGCAAAAAATTTCATGATTTTGATGATGATGACATTATTTAATGACTTTATTCTTTCACAAACATCGTTAATTCGATTTTGTATGGTTTTATATGATAATTTCAAAAGGGATGCGAAACATCAGTGAAGGATCTCAGCAGCTTATTGTCTCTTATATCAGAGAAGAAAGAGAAAATGGAGCAACAAGAAGCCGAGACAAATCTCCAAATACTGTTCGAATTTATGCTCTCTCTTAGAAAGAAAAAAGTTGATGAGCTGAATGAGGTTGCAATTAACTTAATGTCTGTTTCAAGTACATTGTATGTTGTAATATCATTTATTTTGCGTAGAATGATAAATCTGCTCATTAATTTTTCGTGCTCCGATTTTGTGTGGGCAGATACAGGAAGACCTTCACAGTATAAAAGAGGATATTGAAGCTGTCGAGAGGCGTAGATCAGAATTGTGCCGAATAAGGGACATTTTCTCTGCCAAAAAGGAGTATTGTGAGTCGACTCGTTTGAGTTCAGTTTATGCGCAAAATATAAAAGCCAGTGAAAAATCTTCTTCTTCAACTTATTTAAAACTCGAGAATGATGATTTTAGTGGCTCTGACACCCAAAATCATACTCAGTCTGGAATTGTCGTGGCGAAAAAGAGACGAGTTCATGCTCAGGTCACCGTTTTTTTTTTTCCGTAAATGCTTTTTTTTTTTTTTTTTTTTTTTTTTTTTTTTGGTTAATAGAAGTTAATAAATAATTTTTCTTTTTTATACTGTTAACAACAGTTCAATGACCTGCAAGAGTATTACTTGCAAACAAGGCGATATTGGGCTAGTCAAACGAGTGAACACGATTTACTTAGTCTTAACAGAGAAGGTCTCTCTGGAGGGCTTGATGAGTTTAACTCTGTGCTCTCATCTTTCACAAGATATGGGTACATCTCTCCTTCTAACACAATCCTTTATTATTTTATTTTATTTATTTATTTATTTATTTTGCTCTAATGTCATCACTTTGCTAATGAATTCACTTTTCGGTGAAATTAATTTTTAGTCGGCTACGGGTTGTTGCTGAAATAAGACACGAAGATTTGTTTCACTCGGCTAATAATATCATATCAAGGTAAAAGTCGACTTTTGCTACGTATTTGCTTCCAATAATTGAATGTCGTTTAATTCTTACTGTCTCGGTTATTGCAGCATTGAGTTCGACCGAGATGCTGAATTATTCGCTACAGCTGGCGTATCACGTCGCATCAAGATTTTCGATTTTGCAACGGTATGTGTTTGGAAATTATTTACTTATATTCGAGGCTTAGGTTCATATTTAAGGTTATTTTTCGGTTAAGAAAATTAAAAATCATGGATGAATGATTAACTGTTCAGGTACTTAATGGATCTGCGGATGAGCAGTTCCCTATTGCAGAAATGTCGACACGATCGAAACTAAGCTGTGTAAGCTGGAACAAATATACGAAAGATCAAATGGCTAGCAGTGACTATGAAGGAATAATAACTGTTTGGGATGTAAACACTCGGCAGGTAAGTACTTGTACAAGTCAATTGCTCTGTTATGTA